AGATGTGTGTTAATCGTTTTTAAATTCCTTTTTCCGCAAATGGGACAGGATTTACGATTCATATACGGCATGATATGTTGCGTGATCAAATGAGCTTTTTATAGTGATGGAAATGAAAGTGTCACTGTATTTTATAGCTTCTTCTAAACAAGTGGGTTCTGAAAATGTCCTCAAGAGGCCATCACGTTAGTTCTATATGGATTCTATTGTGGTTCTATTCGAATTCGCCAGTTGTTCTGTATGACTTTTGTATGGATTCTCCTGGGGTTCTCTATGGATTCTCCTGGGGTTCTCTATAGATTCTCATGGGGTTCTCTATGGGTTCTCTATGGATTCTCCTGGGATTCTGAATGGATTCTCCTGGGATTCTGAATGGATTATCCTGGGATTCTGAATGGATTCTCCTGGGATTCTGAATGGATTCTCCTGGGATTCTGAATGGATTCTCCTGGAATTCTGAATGGATTCTCATAGGGTTCTGTATGGGTTCTCCTGGGGTTCTGAACGGATTCTCCTTGGGTTCTCTCAGGGTCCTGAACGGATTCTCCTGGGGTTCTGTATGGGTTCTCAAAGTACTCTGTATATGAAAGAAGAAGAAGTGGAAATGTCGTGTATATCATTGATTATTGTTTATTTGTTCTTTTTGGGAATATTGTATGGTCTATACAAGGCCCTTTTAATTTTCTTCTTTTTTAACTTAGCCTTGACGTTATCATCATCATCATCATCATCATCATCATCCCTATGTTTATGTTTGTATACCTTTGGACCATGCAGATTATGTTCTTCAACATATTTCTTTCGACGCTCAATCTGGGCTTTAGCTCTATCTACCACTGCTTGCATGGGAGATACCACCTGTATTGGTTCTTTAATGGTATTGACAGCTATCAATCTCATTCGTTTACCTCCAAATCCCTTTTGATTGCTCCTTCCTGCTTTTATTATTCTTTGCCACTTTTCAGCATCGTTTACCACGGGTACGACCTTCATTGTTTTCATGATGTGACTCGATTGAAGAACAAGAGGTAATATGGTTGGTATTTTTTCTTCATGACATTATATACTCGGGGATAAATATTAGGTCACATTTGAGGTCACATACGGTTTAAACCAGATTATCAAATTTGTAACATGAATGATGTGGTGACCTTGAGGTTTTACCGCTTTACATTATGTTTGATCATATATATTATATTCTTTATTATTTTCACAGTTAAATTCAGAATGATATAATGTTTCTCAAATATTAGGTCTATCTAAATAAAATAAAATTCATTTAATTTATTTAATATGATGGCATTTAAAAGAAGGTTTATGTATCACAAGTGCAATGATACGGGTATACAAAGTCATTTCAAGAGCGTGTAAATACTGGACTAGTAAGCCACACTTCACTTTGTTTATAAACCACTAAAACAAAACAACACAGCGTTCTTAACATAAACAATACTGCTTACCAATTATAAGATTAACTCGCTTGTCCTCGAAGCATCATAAGCATCATCGTGTTACAGGTCAAAGTTTGGTAAGGCTAGACCGAATTACATGACAGCTGATAACTATATATGAGCTTCTGTAGAACATTAAGTCAAACGATATTGAGGGCGTATTTTTGTACATGCTTTTTTGACCGCAGGCAAGATTTTAATCCTAAAAATTAGCTAGATCATGGTTATACCACAATAGAATGGCGCTAAATACCGCTGTGTAAAACAATACTATTGAATAATAAACAACTGTTACAATTTCACTTGCACCTCGGTTAAACAAAAATACAGTGTAAACCTCTCCCACGTTGAACTATGAACTAGTTGTGAATATGTATAACAAAAAAATGGACTCTTGAAATGAACAGTATTTAAGGATCATGTTAGATATAGCACGACCCGGTAAGTTAAATTTATAGAACATTTTTATCATACAGTCTATACGACTTCAATCAGTTTTAACCGGATGTTGAGGGAAATCTCATCGATGAGGCAACGTTGAAACGTTCTGAAATCGTCTAAACGTTCGAAAAACGTTGATATCAACTCTGACGGCACGAAAACGTTCGGAAATTCCATCGATGACGTAGTTGATGAAAACGGGGAATACCCTTGAGCGAAACGAAATGGACTCTTTCTGTATACTATGATAGTTTAGGATTATACCGAATTGACCCCTAGTTAAATATGTTAAAGTTTAATTTATTGAACAATTTTGAGTAATAAATACTTACACTTCAACGTATTTCAATCGATATATCCGATGGCTCTCCTAAATCAATCTAAAATCATCCTGCTATTTGTAAAGAAATGACAATTGTATGGCTTGTTATCATACTACGACCTACCAACGTTATAGTCCTGGAACATTGGATAATGTCTGGCTTCTGGAAAAGTCAACCTCGATGTCAATCCGGACGTCGACCTTACGTTTGCGGGGGTGTAGAATTCGAGTCCTATAGGACTGGTTTAATAAAAGGGGATTACCATGTTTTCTAGGTGGGAATTCCCTGAATGACGCAGTAGATGAAAAATGGGGAATACCCGTTTTGCACCCCCTACACATCGATGAACCCCCTTCCATAGGGATACGTGTTAAAGATATTTGAAACTCTCTAAATGACAACTACTTCTGGTATCCCCTTAAAGTCCCCGTCTAAAGTTTGAAAATATTTTTTTATCATTCATTTACTATTTGTCAGGACTTAAAAAGTGATTTTAGAGATTTTTGAACAAAAAAAAAATTTTGAAAAAAAAGTTATGATCATTTCATTTCTCAAATATTCAAATTTCCCGCCATTTTTCAAAAAAAGTTGAAATTTCTTAATCATCAAATATTTCTAAATGCATTTCAAAAAAGATTATCTTTTTAACACCAATGCAAAGATTGAACAAAAGACACACTATTTCAATAATAAAATGCCATATTTAATGGGCCACTTCAATGTTTTAGCATATCAAAAATATTTTGAAACATTAGTGATGTCACTAAGGTACCAAAAACTTTTTGAAAAAAATTGAAATTTTTTTTTCGATGTCAATCTTTTCTAAATATGTTAGACTTCATAAAAAACCAATGTCGATTGTCTAACCAGGTTAAAAGAAAGAATAAATTATGTTTTAGATATCATTGTACCATTGGTTTCTATGAGAACTAAAATTTTGAAATGCATTTTTCTCAGAACCATTCTCATGCACTGATAAGTTCATTTCTCGCTTATTTATGAACCGATTTTCTTAATTTTTTCGGCAAAAAACATGGAAGGATGATAGCTATACATTGGTATGAATTGTGGCTAATTAGAAGATATGAGTGACCTCTAAAATTTGGTTTTAAATAAATTCACAAATTTTGGAACAAAAAGTCTATCAAAAAACACTTTTTGAAATTAAAAAAAAAAGTTTCACATATCAGACTTTGATAACATTGGGTAAGACTACAATATAAGCCAAAGTGGTTTAAACTTTATATGGGGCCTTTAAAATAAAACAGTTGAAAAATTATTTTTATTCTCGGTTTATTAACTAAACACATTTGGGATGCAAAGAATTCACCAAATAACATTTTGAACTTGTTAAATGAAGGGGTAACCCCTTGCAAACAAAATGAAAAATTTGAAAAATAATTTTTGGATTTTTGGAAGTTGTCTTTAGTAACTTAACATGCCCAGAAATCACCAAGTGTCATATTGAAATCATAAAAATTTCTGGCACCCCAAACCCAAAACATATTTAGCGAAAGCCCGTGTTCCACATAATAATCAGACAACTATTTCGGGAGAGGCATTCATCTTTCACTACCCCCTCGCTCCCCCAAAAATAAAACCGTGGCTATTGAAAATAGACCCATATCTGACCCATATCTGCTATTGATTTACGTGGCAAAAATTGACCATTTTACTCTTTTTTAGTAACGCACCCTTATCCCGTGCCAGGACTCTGGCACGGGATAACCCTTTGAAGAAAAGTGTCTGACGGGCCTAGTTCTGGTGGTCTGTGCTTATTAGAGGTGTAACTCCCGAGTCAGTAACTCGAGTACAGCTCGTCAGAGCTGCCTATACATTGCCTCGAGTTGTCCTCTAGAAACTCGCAATCTATTTCAACTCGCGAGCTAGCTATAACTCGAGTCAACTCGCGAGTTTTGCCTATCTTGTAAGCATGTAAAATGAATTCGGGTCCCAGAGATCGTGCAACATTACTTCATTAGTGGAATAAATATACCAACGATCACCATATTTAGCGCCCGTCACCTAAAAAACACTCTCAAAGCTTCACAAAGTTCAACAAATATCGTGGAATGACGAGTTACACCAAAAATATCAGAAAAAGATCGACTATCGAAGGAACTCAAGCGGGCGATAATAGAGAATGTCACTAGAATTGAATAAAAATGGTCCCCTTATTCTCACGTCGTTTACACGACTTTTACATAAAAAAGATGATCTATCATTAAATTAAGATCATAAGTCTTAACTTTAGATCGATAACCAGCAGTCTTTAGTATAAATAATGAAGATAATCGGGAAAACCATTCATTAATTTGAGGGGCCCTTCTGGGTTTTCTAAAATATTGTTTGGTTAGATTCTAGCGATCTCTCTTCCTAACCGTATGCGGCGACGTCTATACCAGATCGTTTTTGATTGAAATATGAGTCATATGGCCCCAACGTGTTAAACAGCTTTTAGATGTGACTAAACCAGAGAAACTTGCCGCTAGAAGCTACAGTAATTTTGTATACCCGGGTTTACAACATGTACTGGACGAAATGAATGAACTCGAGTTTTACTCGAGTTTTGGAAATATTTGGCAAGTTGAACTCGAGTTGGATTTTTCTCGCGAGTTACACCTCTAGTGCTTATATAGATCATGGTCCACAGACTGGCAAAAGTACGGTCGTGGATTACTTTGTAAACTTTTCCCGGGATTTACACTTTGCAATATCATTACCGGGGTTGAGCTGTCTGTTCGTACGTTCACAATTTTTAACCGTTCGCATATTTGACGTACTACCGGAAGTTAAAAACAACACTTCTTGCAAATCCACGTTCTTGCATTTATATACCTAAAGCACAATTTTACCTGTTGCATTATGTTACTGTAATATAAGACATAAATAAGAGACACTTGGGAAGCAGTAAGTACGGCCGAATGTAACTATATATCTCATATTTTGTGTGAATATTCAAATAATTTTTCCCATAATTATTTTGATTTCCACTTTCTGCAAATCTGGTTCGGTTGAGTGATCGGAGACATGTAAACCACAGGCCCAGGAAAGAAGATTTAAATTCCCCCACACTCACTGTACAGTACATAGTGATTGTGAGGGGGATGAACTCGTTCCCTTGTCTGTGATGTAAACGCTAACCCTGAGGCTTGGGTATACATGAGTCATTACTATTTTTTTCATGGCCTGAGTTTGTCGCTAACATGCTAGATATAAGAGTTAGCTGACGTTTGGGAGTCTGACTTACCTTCTAAAGGTTAGAACCCGAATCTTAATGAAACCATATCACCTTTGTTGCGTTGATGATGATGCATAAACACAGCATTTGATAGAAATTTGTGTAAATGCTTTTCCGACTTTTTCATTTTTCATCAATGTTGACTTCCGGGAAGGCGTTGTAATTATCACGAAATAATGCATTGACCCTTGAACTTTACTTTGTTGATGTGTCAACCAAGCATGTCTGGTGTGAAAATTTAAAGAATATTAAGCAATGTTCTACATCCGCCAAGCTAAGTGAAGTAGCCAATATTTAAAGTTACCAATTTCAAGTGAAGTACGCAACGAACGAAACTGCGTGATCTGCACTCCCACTATTGGTCTGAAGGAAATGCTACGTAGAAATATGAGCCGTCTGCTGTATTAGTCGATTAATAGAGTAAGACCTGTTGGTGCTTTATAATTTTATAGACCAAAACATTGGAGAACAAACGAACCTGTAAATCGTGAAAACAACGAACAAATATTCGGTTTTCACATATGTTTGGTAATTTTTCGTATTGAAACTTCCGGAACTTACAAGGAAATCATTCATTTTCACAGTCCATGATTTACCTCTTGGATGTTGTGGCAAATGCTCCATGGTTGACGGAACAAAGGTGATATGGTTTTATTAAGATTCGGGTTCTAACCTTTAGAAGGCAAGTCAGACTCCCAAACGTCAGCTAACTCTTATATTTAGCATGTTAGCGACGAACTCAGGCCATGAAAAAAATAGTAATAATGAAAAATCAGTCTTAATTTCTTATACATGTAGGTAATCTAAGTATTATATATACAAGGTTATTTATGGAAGGTTTTGATACAAGGTATATCTGAGTGAAGTACTTACCGAGGGATATACCCTGTATCAAGAATCAAGCATTAATAACTGATTTATTCTATACTTAGTAGATTTTTATGAGGAATAATTGCCAAGTCCCCTGGCTCAGTATCTACTCCCTGAATTTGTGACGTCGTAGATCTGATGAGTGGATGATATCAGCGGATGATATCAGTGGATATCACCTGCTCACATCACATATCAATTATATTCCCGCATGTTATTTACCTATAACACTTCTCCCGCATGTTACATGTATTTACATGTACCTATAACACTTCTAAGTATGGAATAACATGCATACACCATTCATTACCAACTTAGTACACTAGGGGACTTTTTAAACATTTTTTTTTATGTATTCCTGGGCTTCAGGCTACCCCTTAAATATCTCATCCTAATTATATAGATAGGGATACTCCTGCTATGAGGTTTGAGTATTGAAAATTGCAGTTTGATTTGGGCTGATTGGAAAAGAGAATAACCAAAATGATTTGGGATTGCCCTCAAATCAAACTGCAATAGGCTAAATGGGAGTAGAAATAATCTTCATTTACATCTGTAGATATTCAAAATTCAGTCGGAGGGATGTCATATTTGAAATCTACATGTACATCTAGTAATATGGTTTCGAAAATTGTGCATCAACTTTGAAAATTTAATTTTTTTTGAAAATAATTTGCATAACTATTAGATACATAATGGTCAGGTGATATGAAATTTGAACCACTAAAACAGATTTAATTTAAGTTAAGGGGAACTTTCTACTATAGTATACCTGCAATGCTATCTGACTTGAACAAGCAGCCACCTTTTTTGTGAAACTGGTACTACCTACTCACATCTGAGCTATTGACTGTGGTATAGAACAGCAGATATTCTACATTACCTGTGCTGAGCATATTTTTCTATTCATCCCAGGATAATGTAAGCTCAGAGAATGAAGAACTGAATTGACAACAGGAATATAGTATATACTGCACATTTAACTAAAGCAAGATGGAGGACATGATGGCAGATTACATGTTGGATGATATAGATTATGAACAAGGTATGTCGTATATTATTATGCTGAGGTGGATGTGACACATTGAAGATCAGTTTGCCCACGTTTTGTAGCTAGGATCAAGGTGACATCTGTCAAAAACAAAGATTATCTGAGTGATCTCTGGTCCAGCCTTTAGCAAGTTGCTGCTGCCCCCTTTTGAGATTTTTGAAAAAGCTTGCACCAATATGAAAACCCACTTACACTCACTTAAAATTTGGAAAAGATTTTGAGCAAATTTGACGATTTTGTGGCAGAAATGTGAAAATGAGTATTTTGCATCTGTATAAAATTAATACATGAATATTAATTGCAGAGTATTATGATGATATGATGGAATATGATGATTCAATGATGGAAGAGGGAGCAGTTTATACTCGGTTACCACTGACACAGGTGTTTGAACAATGTATGCTCCCTACAATACAGCAGACGGCAGGTTCGGTGCTCCCTCTAATGGTGCTTTGTATTGTCTGTAAAATGTGTGCGAATCTCTGTACAGAATGTGAGTATTTTAGCTCTAAAAATGCATCAAGTTTTTCTTGTATTGTACAAAATACAGTTTCTATAAACAAATTAAGATGTATCCATGAAATTGTATTGTGACAAAATGTTTGTACAATACTATTTAACAATACTAGTAACTGCCATCAAAGGACAAATAATTTTACAATTCACCCTACAGTACAGAACAATTCACAATACAGTACCTCTATCAAGTGAGGCATGATTTTACAATTCAATTTTATAATTCAACCATGTCCTGTCTGTAGTTATTATGATAATAGTACATGCCCAACTTGTCTGCATAAAAAATGTTTGTTGTCACTACCAAAATTGATGACAAATAAAAAATATTATACTGTTAAAAATAATTATCCACAATTTGGCATTTGAAGTCTGTAACACTTTTGTGCCTTGTTATTTTTCCAGCTATTGATGACCGTGAGGATATTGCGTTCCCCAAAGTGACATTTCATCTGTCATCAGCGATATGCGGGCTAATGGCCTGCCATCTATTCTTTCATGCTGACCTCCTGTATATGTTAATGCTTGGTATCCTGGCCTACACAATGCTAGCTTTGGCCAATTGGAAATGTCGGCAGTTTTGTGGCAGTGGCGTTGCTGTCATCACAGTGCTCTATTTATTAATATGGTAAACATGGAATAGCTTAATCTATTATGAATAATTATGATTATTATATCACTGTCATATTCCTCACTCTCTGATTGGTCTATGTCCTACACATGATTAAAAAATAACAAGCGATGTTCAACAGAAGTCACATATCAAATGGTATTCACCAGCCACGACTTAGTCCAGTGTATTTTTTATCTTTATATCCCTGGGAGTACATTGTTATTATAAATTAAACATCAATAGTTTGTTATTCCATTAATGTGAGTGAGGAACATAACAGTGAATAATAAAACAAATATTTAATTCTATTTTTGGTGAATACCTGTGACACTTTCACAAGATGTTATTCCACTAGCCCTTCGGAGTTCGTGGGATATCACTTATGAAAGATGCACAGGTATTCACCTTGATAGAATTAGATATACATGTATGTAAAATATTCAATGGCCACAACTTTGTCCACTGTAATTTTAATTTCATTTATATAATTTGATGTATATTTTATTTGAAATATGAAAAGTATTTCAATGTTGAGCATGATTCACCTCAATAGAATTAAATATTTGTGTAATATTAATCTGAATAAACAGATATTTCATACAGACAGTTAATAATGCTAAAAGTAAAACAGAAAAACACAAAGCTTGTAAACAGTATTAATAAAAAAATCAATACATCATTGTATGATTGTGTAATCATCACATTCCTGCATTAAGGTAGGTTTACATTATTTCCTTGCTACAAAGTACAGTAAACTCATATATTATTTGATATTGAATACAAATTCAGATTGTTTTTCTATTTCAGTGAACTGTTTCTAGTAGAGGGAGAAAAATGGCACCAAATAAGAGGTTTTTACACATTTCTTAATTATTATTCTCTAATGCAACCTGCAGTTCTCCGAATCATTGCATTTTGACACCTGAGTATTTAAATGCAACTTTGGGCTCGTGATAACTGAATCTCTTCTTAGATTCTAGATAATATTTATTTATGTCATCACTGCAAGTGGTGACATCTTGTTATAGTCTCCAAATTTTTTGTGGATGGTGGTTGGTGTTCGGTGGTTGGCATTTGTAACAAATGGCAGGTAGTGACATTTTGTATGTTAATGCCTTGTTTTCCCTCTATCTTGTGTCTTTTTGTATTAAGCATTGAAACCGCAACCAATGAGACATTATTTACTAATTTATTGTGACCATTATGGGAGTGGAAACACCCACTCATCTGTCCTTCTGTCTGTCAACAATTTTGGGGTGACTGAAAATGTCCATTTTAAGTGTGAACATGCTGTTAATTTACACCATTGGTCCCGCCTCCTAGTATGCCTCATTTTGGAGAAATTAGCTTTTTTACCACGTGAGCTCACTGAATTGTGTCATTTGTATTTATCACACCTTTGTTTTTTCAGGTGCTCAGATGGTTTTAGCGATGAAAGTAATCTCTGTTGGTTTTGATCTCAGTAACTCAAGTATAGAGAAACTTCCTGCACCGTGGGAGTTCTTAGGATATATATTTAATGTGGGCACTGTCATATTTGGTCCATTTGTCAGCTTTACAGACTACTCAGCTGTGCTGTTACAATCTGAAAGATTAATCGTAAGTTCCGTTCATTTTTAGTATTAATATTTTATTGTATTGTCTGATAGGAAAATTGTCTCTCATTTTTCATTTTTCGATCAACTACGTCATTATTCCTTCGAAATTCACTGAAGCATGAACATAAAATCATGAAAATGACACATTACATTTTTATTACCTACATTCTATCTAAGGAATGAATCGATGGAAAGGTATTTTAAAACAAACCAAGCAACTTCAATCAAAACATCGATTTAAAATTGAATAAACATGGAAACCAAGACAAATATTCTGAACTATAAAATTGAAAACTTTGTACTAATCTTCCATTTTTGATGAATTTATATGCAAATCCTACAAAATATAATCATTAATAATATCAATAGATAATCATTACATCAAAATGACATGTGCATCTTTAGTTCAAATGAGAATTCATCATGATTGAAAGTTATGATTTGTAGAGAATTTGTTCAGTTAACTTTTGATGCGGGACTCATCAATCGCGCGCTTTTTACGTTTTCTCGCGTATTATAACCTATAGCGCGGAAATGTCTCTCTTCTTTAAGACTCAAAGAATACGGTATATTTTCATGAATAAGTATGGTTTACCCTATCATTTGGTACCACTGTAATGTATGGAACATGCGCAGGCAAAAAAAAGCTATGAAATTATTTCAATAAAATCTGTCCTCGCTAATTCCGATGAAAGGGGAGACAAAGTCCCCATTTTGTGTGTAAAATGACGTCAAAACTGTCTATGCACATTTTGTTCAGACTCTGGTATCATTCATTTTAAAAGGTGAAAAACTAAAATAGAGTCTTTAATTTTTTAATACATTATAATCACCTGATGCGCAGCTGAGAAAAATATTTTTTAGGACTCAAAATATTAAAATACTCACACTCGCATAAATTGAAAATGCCCAATTGATTTTAACTAGGATTTTTATCACGGAGGTTTCACTTGGACATTTTTCAATATTTTACAGAATTTACGAGGTTTATATGGCGACCAGGTCATCAAATATACTTTTTTGTAGAACAAACATCTTCTTTATTGTTGACCATAAGAATTTGAGATGATTCATTGCAATTTAAAAGACTTAGATGGCTTAGAACATATCTACCGTGGTAAAAAATAACGTAATTTTGACGAGGCTTCACTCCTAATATTCGTACAAAATCCATCGTTGCTGATACGTTTACATCTGAATCACTGATAAGTAAAGTTTCAGTATGTTCGTGAAACTTTTCCGGATCTAACAATATAACAACTGTATGGCAAACTGCTATATAACTCACAAAATCTACCTTTAAGTACCATACGCAGGCTGAATAAGTCAGAGTTGAACACGAGTCACTCACAATTACGATTGCGACAATAGCAATTGTGACGTCATACGCTGTTCGTTATTTGTAAATATCTATGCATAGAATTGATGATCCATGAAATGGGGTATTGTCCTGAAAATATCATAAACATTGATGGAACAGTTAAAAAGATATATACTTTTACATACTACATGGCCGTTTTGTTTCGTTCCTCGTTGAAACGTTGAACACGCCTTTTAGGGTGTTTTTATTAAATTGAGAGCTATTTCGAAGGGCTGTGAATTGAATAACCATAGAGGATATTTCATAAAATTCAGTTCGAATAATTGCCTTATATAATAGCAAGAAAGATATATAAAAATTATTATAAAGTATGTCGAAATACATGTTAAACGAAGACCGAGATCTTTATAGACGTCTTATTATATTGGCGATTTCAAATGTGTACCAATAGCGTACTTATAGTAAATACGTTGCTTTGTTTATTTCCAGACATGGCATTTTATAAAACGTCTTCTTGGCAGTTTTGCAATCTCATTGGTGTGTGTTGTTATATCAGCGTGCGTCACTTATTGGCTAATACTGGATGATTCAGGAAGGTAAGTTAATATGCAGCGCTCCAGGAAGTAAGTCAATATGCAGGTCTCCAGACATCATAAGGGAAGTAGTAAGAACAGGGTGGTTCATGTCTAGAACCCTGGGCCATTTAAGGATGATATTTTACATATTTTCTCACTCGGAACATTGCCATTAAAAAAACTGAAAACTTGAGGCATTCGACTGCAAACTGAAAACTCAAGGTATGCGACCGAGCTGGTATCAGAATAATTTTTAATTTCCTTAATAATCCATGGGGTGAAGTATATTTTCCTGGCTTGATACAATTTCCTAGGTCATGCTCGAATAGACGGATTCAAGTTCCATGTACGAACATTGATATTTCATACATACCCAAAACCAAATGATTACTTTCAGCTGGATGCTAGCATACAGAGATGCGCAGTCATTCCGCTTCAGTCATTACTTCATTAGCTTCTTGTCAGAGGTTACCACTCTGTGTAGCGGACTCTCCTGGGTCATACGCGGGAATATAAGGTAAGAAATGTAAATTATTCAATAAGTGTCAATAGTACCAAAAGCCTCAACTCTGCATGATTTTTTGATTTCAAGAGATATTTGATAAATAAGCAATAAATAATGTTTGTCAGCTAGTCATTCGACATTAGTGAAATGGTATTCTTGCCAAACTGACACCACTAATGTATTCTATTAGTTCTTCTACATGTTCATATTTAGCAAATCATCCATGGAGTATAAATGGATCTGCCCTGCCAGTGTAAGACATTAATTTTGCTTCATCATTTCCTTTACATTTTATAATGGAAGAAATGACCTGATTCCCTGTTATTTAAATTGTTGCATTTGTTACAGTTTAACTAATTTTCTTCGCCCTTTGAGTAGAAAATAAGCACATACTGCAGGTCCCATAATTTTGATAAAACAATGTGAAAAAGTATTTGTTAGTTCAAAGAAATGACAGACAAATGATTTAAATATTTGTTTAGATTTATTTCTTTGTCTAGTTGAACACTACTTAGTATGACATCACAATGTATTCTTCCCTCCTGCCTCTCGCTCTATGATTCCGAAGTGATGTCTCAATAAATAGAACTATAAAACTTGTTTATGACTTCCAAAGGAATATGTGTATGCTTTTTTTATTCATTTGTACAAAGAATACAATACAACAATACATGTGTAAGTAGCTGTGCTTTGAGCATCATTAGCTACGTTAAGGAATATATTCATTCAATATTATTAATAATGCCTTGGTCACATTTGCTCCGATTTTCACTACAGCGCCTGGCCGATTGAGTATTTTGTTCAAAATTGAATACAATATTGAGCAAAACACTCAATCGGCCGGGCGCTGGCCAATGGATCGGAGCAAATGTGACCCAGGCATTACATACATGTAGTGTTAGGAAATACCAATATTCTATGAATCATGATAAACATATGAGTGGTGCAAAGTGAAGTGATTATGAAGAATTGAGCCAGGAGTCAATGAAAAAACATGTCATTTGATGTATTTCTGCATGAATTCACTGCAAAAACAGTTTATTCATTCCTTAATTAACACAAAAATTTTGGTCAGATCATAGGGATGACCTTGTTTCATTACTCCGATCAGTCCAAGATTTTCGTCTTATCAATAACCCCCCCTCCCGAAAAAAGAAAACAGTCCTTATATGTTGCACCATAAATCATCTCTGCATTTATATAACTTTATGAGTTCATACTTAGTCTGGTGCGAGAATTATTTTACTTACTAAATCATTAATTTTTTGTTTTGAGATTTCGATACAATGTTTGGGTGAACTCATCTCTTCTATTTGTTTTATGATGGAGCCATCTGATAACTTATTCCATATTTTTCCGGAGAGGGCAATATTGTCAGAGAGTGTTATTTTATCAGTATTAAGGTTTTCCTTGGATATGATTTGAAATATCAAATAGACTGTCAACTGAAATGAAAAACTTCTTGTGAATTCTGGAAGCGCGATTGCAATTTGTTGAAAATCTTTGTCTCCCATTGATTTATTTGGAACGGTATATATTACCACATAGTCATCATTTTTCTTGATTGTATATAATTTAAAAAGACACTGGATGGTATCATGAAAACATTTTGCTATTTCAAGGGGTGTTCTAGGACCTTCAGTGTTACACTGTACCTCATGTTGCAGAACCAGGGCCTGTAATGTGTGTGAGTTTGTGTATTTCTTATTCATGAATTTCAATACCATAAGAAGCTTTTTGTGATCAGGGTCCATTTTATAATTTGATGGGTCTTTATAATTTGTGAGTGTCCATCCATCTGTCAGACCAAATGGTAGTAAACAGTTCATTCGAGCATCAACAGATATAAATGGTAAAACTAATTGTTTCATGTCATCCTTTGTGTCCACACCTTCAAGGGCACCTATGTAAAGTTTAGTTGTCTTGAAATTATTGTGACTCAAAGCAGGCAAATGTGTTGCTTTTATAATTGGTCTTGGTTTCTCAAAACAGAATCCAAAATCGATCGATGTCACACAGAGTGGACCTTTGATTTCTAAGGTTATACAAGGGCCATTTATAGTCACTCTGTCAGTTTTGCTTACATCTCCATTTATTGCATTGCGTAGTTCATCATCTTGTTTTATAGCATCATTAACAGCTTCTAAGAGTGCGTAAATTACATCATGACTCCTTGTATAGAAGTGTCGTCTGTATATGATCTGTATACAGCAGATGGTGATATGTACCAGCATGTAGCAGACGACATAAGAAAAAAAGTACAAGCACATGGCAAAAAGAATTATGACTTCCATGAAGTGTGCAATCACACTGGATAGTTTGAACATAAGTTTACCAAGCACAAAAATTGTGGCTTCAAATATGACTCCAATTGGTCCATTCTCAAAATACCCATCATAAAGTTTTATCGTTGGACGTGAAATTATTTCTTTAACAGTTTGATTGAATTGTTTGTCATTAATAGTCACATTTGTCATGTTCGATCCTTGAGAAGCTTCTTGTACTGTAATTTTCTTGATATTAGAAAATACCAGTTTGAAGTCAAATTCATCCGGGTCATAGATTTTTGTTCCATGGTAAAATGAACCAGTGTTAAGAATGTCAACTTTGAACGCTGGGTAAAGCTCACCGACTTTATCACAAAGGCGTTTAACAAATCTCTCGATGTAATCCTGGTGTTGTTGAATCTCCTCTTTTGAGTACCTTTTAAATATGCTTGCTTTGTCATAACCAGTTTCCACAAATGAGGCAAGTTTTACGAGATGAGATTCAGTTATTGTCCATGACATTGGCTTATATCCATTTTTCTTGTCCGTTAACATTGACCTCATTTTATTGAAGATTGGACCCATTTTGAAGAAAACCTCTAAGAATATCACAAAATACAATAAAAATGTCAATGAACCATCTTCAACATAGAAACATCTTATACAAAAGTCAGCAAACATTACATCCAGCATCATAACGGCAAAAAATAAGAATTCATTGAAATCTATGCTCTGTTCATTTTTGCATTTTCTTATCAGAGCAAATGTCATTATTGCTGCGAAGGTTAAACTGAATACTGTACTTTGATCCATATTCTTCTGGTGGTGGTCTTGGTTTTGCAGTGAGGATTGCATTTCAATATGACATTCCTATATTGTACCACATTATTGTCGTCTATATCGTCGTAGTTTCATTGTTTGTATTAGTCCTATCTGGAAAAAGTTTAATGATTCGCTATGTTCAATGTTAGCTGCACTATTCTGATTTAAAAGTTTTATATAAAAGTTAATATTTAATGACAGTATCTGATAAGAATACACTATTATATGCTTTTTATTTTTTCAAGTTTCTATTAAGTCTGAAGTTGTTGCCCCTAAATAAAATCAGATTATTGTATTATTCCAGAAATAATATATAATTTGAACTGAGGGTAAAGTGGTATTGTTTGAAATAACAAGTTTGTCTGAAGTTGATTATCTAATATTTCTGAAAATGAAAACAAATGACACATTTTCCAAATTGATAATTATTATGAATATTCCAAGCACAGGAGTAGAATTAGACTGAAGTTGGCATATATCCAGTTATGACTTTGTTGACTTTGTACTTTTGCCAAGGAATGTGAAAAGTTGAGAATATTCTCTTGAAATCAAGTCACATTGACATCAACATACTTGAGAGTTTAAGCTAATGATATTTTTCACAACGCAACCGTGAACACAAGCCATTGAATTAATACAGTAATGTATATGGTGTGCATACAAAACAAACGCTACATAGTCTACTTCAGATACCAGTTCTGGGTACCCTCACCCCTATATTTGCAAGTGTCCCATTTTTATTGGCCCACCTTGTATATAAGAAAGAATGCTTGATTTGTTTTTTCAGGGATATTAATGTTAGTCGTCCCTATCACATAGAATTGCCGCGATCTTTGGTGGAAGTTGTCTCTAAATGGAATCTCCCCATGCATTATTGGTTGAAAACATGTGAGTAGCAGAATATGCAACTTTCTTAGTGTTGAACTCTTTGATGTGATTTGCCAACCCTATATCATCCATGCACTTGACCAACTTAAGGCAATCCAAGACCACTTCATCTGGTATTATGAACGTTTCTGCTTTGTTAACCATTATAATTTTTTTTATTTATATGTGATTCTGTCCCTTCTACTCCCTTTAAGATACCAGAGGGAACTAACATAATTGGCTTCACTATATCCTTACCAAACTCCTAAGATTGGAAAATAATATATAATACCTGTATTTGTGCATTCATGTTTAGATGTCTTCAAATCAGCCATAGGTCTCGGAAACTTCACAGCCATCCTTCTCACCTATATAGCCAGTGCAATATTACATGTAAGTACTGTAGAAACAAAATTCTTAGTTATACATTAGAGTTTCAATAAGTTTCTGTGATTTCTCTTTGATTTTTTATTCATTAGGAGTTTCAATTCTGTGATTTTTCTCTTTGATTTTTTATACAATAAGTTTCAATAAGTTCCTGTCATTTCTTTTTGATTTTAATGTCACCACTAGAAGTGGTGACATTGTTTTAGTCCCCAACTTTTTTGTGGATGGTGTTTGGCAGTTAGTATTCAGTGTCTGTAACAAATGGCAGGTAGTGACATGCCTTTTATATATGTTTGAGTTTCAATAAGTTTCTGTGATTTCTCTTTGAATTTTTTACATTAGAGTTTCACTATTATATTGGTGACAAAAAATGCAACCCACCATTTCTTAATGTAAATTGTGATTAAAAGTGTTTTAAATTTTTTTACATGTAAATGTATAGATAGAATGTACGATGCATAGAAAAGTGATGAATTTACAAACAATAGCATAAATGACTTAAACAGTTTTGAAAAATAAAAAATAAAATTTATATAATTTTATATTAAAATGCTCATTAAATAATTATATTTTTTATAATCAAGCATCAAAGCGGGATAGTTTAAAATATATCTTTGTTAATATTGTGCAGCAAAATATAACAAAAATACATTAGAATGCTATTGCTTGAATTCATTGACTCCTTCTGAATAAGTATTTCTGTAAAATAAATCTTTCAAAAGATTGCTCCCACATGTTATACCATGGAGCAATCTTTCACCATTGTAATAATCACCTTAATACTCATGACATGATTTAATATACATGTTGACTTAAGATTTCTATCATTACTACTTATGCCGTGGTCACATTTGCTCCGATTTTTACTACAGCGCCTGGTGGATTGAGCATTTTGTTCAAAATTGAATACTCATCGGCCGGGCGCTGGTGCTGAAAATTGGAGCACATGTGACCATGGCATTACTGTATGATTTTCACTCTCTTCCTATGTACACTAATGTTGTAACAGTTGAATGTGTTGTAATGTTGTCTGTAGATGTTGCATGTTTGTTGTAGGGTTTAAACTTCCAGTTAGCAGCAGTGCTGTTATCATTAGGCTTCTACACCTACACAGAATATGGTAAGAAACTCTTATTTTCCCAGATTATCTTGTTCTGCCAAAATTTATCCGGTCGTTCCGGATGATGAGAATGTTTATGTAATTTTAATAAGTTTGAAATTACCAATTATTAATGAAATGCATTATATTTTACACATTTTGTTAGAATACATAGCTCAAAATCAATATTGTGATTAAAGAACTGACTCCAAATTGAATATTATATACATTTAAACATGAACATATGTTTATGTGAATGTATGATTGACTGTATCTTTGATAATGTTGAAACAAGTCTCTCTTTACCTACACTACACTTTGCCTAACATCCGTGATCTTAAGAATAAATAAGGGTTATATGCAAAGTCATTTTATTGCATTACTGGAAGCAGGAAGATATGCACCGGAAGCGGGAAGATATGCACCAAAGCGGGAGATATGGAGGTTTTGGATATGGAAATCTCAAAATCAGGATACGGGATATATCTTACCAACTTTCTCCCTAAAACTCTACTTGGCATAGGATAAAGTGTCTATGCCCCTCCTCACCATTTCAGAAAGAATAGTCCAGGGGGTGGGTTTGGATAATAGAAAAACCTCCTTGAGTAGAAATATGGCAAAACATAACAAAATTATTTTTGAGGAGTAATAGTCCTGTGGCATAGATGATTAAAAAACTGATTGAGTAAAACTATAGCAAAAAATAATAATGATGCAAAATATATTTTAGTTTTACGTAAAAGGCTGTCGCGGATATTTGATGCTTGTATACAAGCAAAGAAGTGTAAAGAAGACTGTACTCATCAATTCAAATCTGTAAGTAGATTTTCTTCAGTTATGAAAAAATGAAGTCTCTATCTGTTAGTGAAATAAGATTTCGCATAGTAGTTAATTTGTAGTACAGTTACTTACAAATGAAGACTCTATCTGTTACTGAAATTAGATTTTACATTACCCCCCTATCACACCAAACTAGTTCTTACCCGTTCTTGCCAGTCCTACGAAAATTTCGTAAAACGGGCTCAATCTGGCTGCGGTCGGGATATATGTCTAAAATAATTAGCTACTTCGTTCATAAACAGTCTTCAATACCTCCATCTCATTCGCAGTTCGTTCAGGTCGCACCACGTCGATGTGCAACGTAGTATAAACCGTCCCTTAGTCTAGAAGGTCATCATGACCTGATTACAGAATGGTATGGTCGCGATCGAATTTTGAATTGATTCAAAATTCTAAATCACATACCCAGTCCAGTAAAGTCCATGAAGTTCGTAAACAGACCATAGAACGTTGTAGCTACGTTCATTCAGTTCGCACACAGTTTAAAACCGATTCGGCAACATTTTGATGATCACCAGAAAATTTGAGCATGCTCTAAATGCTGGAGGACCTTCTCGTTCTAGTAGTTTCATGAAGTTTGTAAACGGATCCCAAACGGTTCTTAGTGGGTTCTTAGTACGTCAAATCCGTTCGTGCACAGTTTAAGCCCGTTTTTGAGAACGTAGTGAGAACTAGTTTGGTGTGATAGTAGGGTAAGTAGAGACTTTTTGACTTTATTGTATTGAAAATATTATGTTTATTGTCTTGAAAATGTTTTGTTTATTGTCTTGAAAGTATTATGTCTATTGTAATGTTTATTAAAATATTGTTTATTATTGTAATTCTTTTTTTAGAGTCACATATATGTCAGGGTGGTGAATGTGTTTTTTGGTTGCTTAGCAATGTTCCATTTAGCCTACCTGGGAATGATGTTTGACGGTAGTGCTACAACTGAACAGGTAAACTGCCTCCCCTCCCCAACCATAAAGTAGTTGATTATTTGATCTCATACATGAAGTTTTAAAATGCTACTTCAAACAAGAAAGGAATAATTCACGAAATCAAATGACATCAAATATTGGAAAAAATGACATGATTTGATAATAGTACTATCTAGTTTATTTTTATTAAGTATAATTGCAATAGTGGTTACAGTGGCGACAGTTATGGTCTTCATCTTTTTGTGATGGCATCTCTAACAAATGACAGATGGAAGCATTTTGCATGTTAATGGCTTGTACTTTATTGTGATAGGTGTGTATTGTAAAAGTGACATGTGCATTTTTATGATTTCAGGGCTACACAATGGAGCATACATTGAGTAAATGGGCACATCTTGGCTACATGAGCCACATTGTAGCTATTGGTAGCTACATCTTCTACTTTCTCATATAATCCAACAAAATCTATGTTATACTCTTGTGGATGATGGTCTCACTAGAGTCAACTTTTCTTGGAGTAAAGAAAAGATGTTGTGGGAGTTGGTTGCTTATGGAAATATGGGACTGGAAATGTTATATGGCTCATTCTAGTGAAGTGTTAATGGCCACTAGGCATCCCACTATTGCTTGGTGCACCGATATATTCACTATCATAGGACCCATAATGGTGCTTTACTGTCTACATATATAATGCATTATTGTGTACAATGGTGAACAGTGTACGATGGTATCTTCTTCAGCAAAGAGCATTCATGACAGTTTACATGCATGATACCATACTTAATACATGGTACATACAATGGTGCCACTTTTTTAACTGAACAAAAATCTCATGGATAACTGAGAATGTAGATGTAGTCGTAGAATGAAGGGGCACAGGGTGAGCCATTGGTGGTGGCTCAGAGGCCTGGAAACTGTTAATTTTAAAAATGTTTATTTTGAATTGAGTGCCGGATGATATTAAAGCCAAAACGATCAATTCTGTTGGACAATGAGATTTGGACCAGCAAAATGAATGCATGGGACAATGTAAGACATCCAGTGTTCAAATCAAACCACCAGCATTAGTATATACATTGTTCTTTGTTCATTATCTGAACTTTGGTTTGAACTGAAGTGCCTTTTGTTCTTACACCATCACAGTATTAAGTGGCATTACACTCATACTTTATGGGACAACATATGACATTACTTCATACAGTGGTGATTTATGGCACAAAATACACATTGTTCAATCAATACAATATTCATGTAAATGCTGATTGGTCGAAAGACATCCAATGTGTCAGCATTTAATTGTATTATGTAATTGGCATCATACATTGGAAATTTATGGCACAAAATACACATTGTTCAATCAATACAATATTCATGTAAATGCTGATTGGTCGAATGTTTATTACGCAGTGCATTTATTCAAGACATCCAATTTGTTATGTAACTAGCATCATACATTGGTAATTTATGACACAAAATACACATTGTTCAATCAATACAATAGTCATGTAAATGCTGATTGGTCGAAAGACATCCAATGTGTCAGCATGTAATTGTATTATGTAATTGGCATCATACATTGGTAATTTATGGCACAAAATGCACATTGTTCAATCAATACAATATTCAAGTTAATGCTGATTGGTCGAAAGACACCCAATGTGTCTGCATGTAATTGTATTATGTAATTGGCATCATACATTGGTAATTTATGGCACAAAATACACATTGTTCAATCAATACAATAGTCATGTAAATGCTGATTGGTCGAATGTTTATTACACAATTACATTTATTCAAGACATCCAATATGTTCTGGCATTGCATTGTATTATTATGTAATTGGCCTTGTTTATTTAAAATTTTTGGACATGGGCTATGCCTCTGCACATAAAGTATATAAAGTATTTGTCGCTGAGCTGATTTTTCTAAGAGATTTAGATAAGAAGTTTGTTGTCCAGTGTTTGCCACTAAAACAACTACTGCATAGTGTTCCTACATAAATGTTTTACACTGGGTCATGTTACATTTTTTCGGAGACTTGGATTTGAGCAAGGATGTGTGGATTTAACAACCTGTGGGGACCATCTTTTTGACATTTTCCAAACTCTATATTCTCTTTTTAATCAAATGTACTTAATTTTTATCAAAATCAATTGATATCTTACTTGAAATTCTACTATTTCAATCAAAAAGAAATATACTTTCTAAATAAGGGAAGTCAGTGCTTTCAAATGGTATGTTCATTTTTTGTGGCAGAATACCAAACAATCACACTTCATTTTTTGGAGCAGATTAGGGACTGTATGTATCTTGTGTAATACATTTTGCTTTAGTTGTTGAAATGATCAGGTTGTGGAAAAATATTTGTGTAAAAGTATTTAAATGTTGCATTTTCTAGTGCTAAAGACCTCATATTGTAATGTATTTATTCATATACAGTTAAATCTGTCTAGGTGGAACACCTTTTGGTACCTCTAAAAAGTGAAACTTAGGAGGTGTTCTACTTCGGTTCATTTAAGCTACGTTCACACCAACGGCGAATGCCACGCTTTAAATCGGCGAGCAAAGCGCTGTCATTTTTGTCATTTTTGTTCATACCAACGGCGCTTTGATGGCGCTTTAAAGCGGCTTGTAAAGCTTTACAAGCCGCTTTAAAGGGCCATCAAAGCGGCGTTGGTGTGAACGTAGCTTTAACATTAAGAAAGATGGTCTCTGAAAAGTGTTCCACTAACAGAGGTGTTCCATTTCTAGAGATGATCCACTATACAGGTTTCACTGTATGTTGCATAAGTGACCACTAATACTAAGGATTTAAGCCCCAGACTCAATCAATTGGTGGTGATTTGTTGCATTTGATTCTTGTTTTTGGTTCAAAATGAGGACTTTCCTCAACGAGGCCTTACTTTTTTAACACTTAGACATGACTTATAGTTTGTTTATAGTTCAAACAAAAGTCTTCCCTTTTTAGTATTCCCATATTAACAATTAATTGTTGGATATTTGGGCTGGAAAGTAAGAACACATGGCTAAGTTATGTGTAAAAAATATGTTCAATAAAAAGTATATAATTCAACTGACTGATTTCATGAGATAAATATGATATTTTGGTAATATGAAATATTAAACATACCAGATATATAGATATTCTTAGCTGACATAATATTTGTACATGGTTTATATATTCTTGTAATACATTATTTATATGATAAAATGACAGAGGGCTGGACCATTTATTTTATAAAGGGTCCATCGTATTATATTATTCTTAGGAAGATAAAATATATCTGTCTAACAGAGAATACTGTGTCTATTTATAGTGTGGGATATTAGGTGAGGGAAAACAAGCAGTAAGATGTAGTATTGGGGACTAGGATACTTTATAACATACATTTTATAGAAATAAATTTTGTAATGAATACATCTAGTGTTGCTCTTTTGAATTTTTCACATAATGTTAAACCTAGCAGAACACCCTTGGTTCTGCTATATGGTGTTCAACTGACAGAAGTTTATTTAACATAGCCAGCTGATCATGGAAATTTAGTGTTCCACTTGACTTCCACCTTAATCACTCAATGACAAGGGTCGTTTTATGTCCTCTCTCAAAAAGGATAAGAAACTGTCCTCTTAACTGTCCTGTTAATTCAGCCTGTAGAATAAAATTGAAAAATATTTCATTCAAAAAATCCATTAATTGGTGAAAATAAGAAATTGGTGTCCTAATACCCTACAGATATGGAGGTAACATTTCAGACCTAGTTTGCCGTGTGATACTGGCAGCACCCAGACTCTAGGGAATTGATTGTACTTTGTACAGAAACAATTGTAAACCTGCTGATAGAGCCAGGGATAAAGTGGTTAAAAAGCCTTGGCGAAGTTACCTCCTTTGCCAAGATATTAAAAATAGAAAAGTTTTCATAACTTCATAAAACCTTGGAATAGCTCACTTCCTGGATATCTTCCTGAATGAGTTGTGAACCTAGTGCCACAAAATGGAAAACAAGTAGAGGGTGTATACTGCATATAGCTTCATCAGGGCCATGGTCAGTCAGGAATAAATTAAAATAAAATATGAGACAGGAAAAAGTCAAGATTTTTGAAATGAGAAAAAACTACCATGAAAATTGTATACATGAAGTCTTGATTTGTCTTCCATGAATACAGGAATTTTCAACAAATAATTAAGACAACACTTTTTGCTATCAAAGTTCATATTAGTACATTTTGAACAAAGCTTCATACATGACATGCATGACACATGGCCAGGATTTAACATTTGGAATTTTTTTAAATGAAAGTCAACTAACAAATGCAACATTTTTGTTTTCTACAAATGGTTTTATTGTAATGTTTGTGTATTGTACAATAATTGTACATGTACATTGTATATGATCATATTTCAAAATACAAAATCTGTTTATTTCTACACTCTTATTTACACAATTTTCAATTTACAATATTTACACCACAATATATCTAATTATTACAAAATCTTGTACAATTCATGATTACACTTTACCATGTTCACATTTTCCCATTTTCACATTGCAACAGCTTCACATTTTCACATTGCAACAGATGCATGAGAACCTTCTGATATGCATAAAGTTTTGGTATCAAATGTTACATTCATAAGCAGCTGTACCTCTCATAATTCTTTGAGTAAATATTAGAATTCAAAGGACAGCTGTTTATGAATGTTGCATTGAAATTCTTCTATAAATGGTTGATAAACAATTATATAAATGGAAGCAAAGGGTTGGTTGTTTATGACTTGACTTAGTCATGTCGTGTAAAATACATGACTGCATTCAATAGGTCATATTTAAATGAAAAGCAAACACACACATATAGGTAGTGAGGTAGCACCGAAAAATGTACCCGCTTCTGAACAAATTGAAATTACTTGTTTCTTATGTACTTTTATGTGATACTTCAGAAAATTTTAGTCTGACGCGCCGTATCCGGGGCGAAAGTTGTCAAAATTGGGTTTTTGACCCTCAAAAGGAAAATTACAGGGGGTACATTATCATCATTGAATAATTTATTCAGTTAGTCTTCAATCATCATATTGATTTTATTGAGAGTTGATGAGATCATTTTAAGGTAGTATGCAAAGTTTCAATGGTCTGTCACTCGTGGTTGCCATGGAAACCACAATTTTTGCTGAGAAAATCCTTAATTTTGGTAAAACCTGTACCTGTACATAATATAGAATGTGGATTATTTTTCAAATCAACAGATATCAGAACATTTTAGCACTCTAAAAATCACCAGGGCTGTCCAAACATTTGTTTAAAGAGAAAGATTATTGCAATTTATATGACTGGTAAGTGTCAAAGACCATACAATTACATAAGTGGTCAAAAGTGGGCGTCGCCCTCATAATAGTAGTTGATTGCCATTCTCTATAAATACAGAGTTTTACTTGACTTTTGAGATACATTTACAATGTATATTGAATTTATTTGGTTATACTTAATATCAAGCATTTTTACATCTAAGTGTTATAGTTATTGCATGGGGATACAGGGGGAGGGGGGTAGTAACAGAATTGGGAGGGGGCAGAGCTTATCAGCCTTAAGTGTAAATCTCATCTACATGGTTCTAGATTTCATAGGGTACAGCTTCTGGGTCGTATTATATTCATCTCAATATATCTCAATATATAAGATATTAGAATTTACATGGTTGGTAAGTGTCAAAGACCATAGAATTACACATGTGATCAAAAGTGGGCGTCGCCCTAATCATTGTATATGGTTCAT